CTTTCTTTCTTTCCTCATATCTGGACTATTGCAATAGCCTTCTGCTTAATCTCCCTGATTCAAAACACTCCTTATTCCAGGCCATCCTCCACTCAGCTATCATAATGATCTTCCTCAAGTCTCACATCTCCAACTACCTATTGGACATGTTTCATAGACATCTTAAGATTAAAATGCCTAAAACTGAATTCACTCTTATTCCTCAAACTCTCTTCTTTTCCCAAATTTCCTATTACTATTGAAGGAATCATAATTCTCCCAGTTGTCCATATTTGCAGACCAGGCATCATACTCTATTACTCATTCTCCACCCACTCCCCAACCATATTCAATCTGTTGCCAAATCCTGTCAATTCTACCTTTTCAATGTATCTGGTATACACCTCCTTCTCTCCTCTGACACTGCTACCATGCAGTTTTTATCACCTTACACCTAGACAATAACCTTCTGGTTTGTCTTTCTGCCTCAAACCACTCTCCACTCCAGGACATCCTCCCTTCAGCTATCAATGTTCTTCCTAAAGTTCAAGCCTGCCCTATTGCATTCAGGATCAAAAATTAAATCCTCTATTTAGCTTTTAAAGCCCTTCATAGCTTGGCCCCTTTGAACCTTTCCATTCTTCTTATGCCTTCTTCCTCTTCATGTACTCTGGAATCCAGTTACACCGGAATCCTTGTTGTTTCTCACCCAAGAATTCTATCTCTTAACTTTCTATATAAAGTCTTACTTGCGCATGGTTGTTCGCATGTTGCCTTCTCCATTAGACTGTGAGTTCTTTGAGCATAGGGACTTTTCTCCCTTTCTATGTCTAGCACTTAGCACAATGCCTGATGAATAGTAGGCACTTAATAAATGTTTGTTGACTTGAGTTGACTCGAACTCAAAATGTCCCAAACCAAACATATTTTCACTGAAACCTGACTCTTTTTCTGATTTTGCTTTTCTATCACTGGTGCCAACATCTCTTACATTTTAACCCTGATGTTATCCATAATTTTTCTTTCTCTTCTGAATCAGTTATTGGGTATTGTTGATTGAATCTCTAATATCTCACATCTATTTCTTCCTCACAGATACTCCCTTTATACAGGGCCACAATACCACCTACCTGGAGTACTGAAATAGCCTCTTAAGAGATCTCTCCATTTCTATTATATCCTCTTTCCAATTTACCCTTCACCCAACTGCCAAATTAATCTTCCTTATGCCTAGATCTAGTGATACCATTCTTCCTCAAAACTCTTCAGTAGCTTCTTATGAAATAAGCTTCAAAATCCTTCACATTCAAGAACCTCCACAATCTACCTTTCTTGCCACATGTTATCTTATTCCCCTTGATTTCCTCTATGTTCCAGCAAAACTAATGAGAATACTCTTTTCTCTCTAAACATACCAACCCCAGTACTTTCCCAGCTCAGTGCTTTTGTTCATGTATTATACAAGTCTGGACTAGTCTCATCATTAAAAATACAAACTCAGTTCATAATAATGTTCATTCTAGAATCTTTTCTAGTACTTTGCTTTTTCCTTTCTAATGAATGCATTCATCATGCACTGTTATATATTACTACTATCTATGTTTGTCTCACCTTCTTCCAGATTGTAAGCACCATGAAGTTAGGAACTATAACTTATTTGATCTTTGGATATCCTTTGGATTTTAGTGCAATGTTTTATGCACAATAGGTATTTAAGAAATGAATGTTGAATTGAATTGAAATGTTTCTATATCAATTGAAATATGAATAGTCCCATACTGTAGAGAGGATTCCTATTGAGGTGTGGCTTGGACTAGATGCCCCTTGAAGTCAATGGCAACTTTGATATTCTATGATCCAGTGACCTGGAGAAAATCAACATGTGTTAACACAGTTATACTGTAATTAGAAGTTATTCATATAAAAAGCCTGTGAAGACCCTCTGAGGGAACTGTCTAAATGTCTTTTTCATTTGTTTGTTTCCTGGTGAATTCTCCACGTCCCTCATTTGATGAGCTATTCCCTTGGAAGGAGAGACAGGAGTCCTTGCACAAAATAGGGGGATGAGTTGGGGAGTGGGGGTCAAGGAGTCTCTGTAGCAGGTCAGAAAGTTCAGTATTACATCTCATCCCAAAAAGATGAAAAGAAATCAGTCTGTTCATCTTTACTAAGTGTTTCTTCTGGGGACAGTCCAGCCATGGTCTTGCAGCTATAAATCTGAGTTTTGCTATGTGTTTAACAGGTTTCCATTACTATGAGAGTCCCGAAAGGAGATAAATTTTTCAATGTTTTTTTCCCCTACTTTTGCCTTATCGCAAATACGGAGAAAATTATGAACAAACTTATACATCGTCACAGTGTGGGGGTTCCATCTGATAATCAGCCAGGCAGTTTCTTCCTCCCTTGACGGACTTCCCCCCCCTTTTCAAAGACTGTGGGTAGATAAGTATCTTTCCTCCCTGAAGCACATATAAGAGCTTCACAGCCACCCAAGGACAGTTAGAGTCTCCAAGGGTAAAGTCTCCAAGGGTAGACATGCAGGCCAGCGGTATTCTCATGCTCTTCTGCACCTCAGCACATTGGCTCCTCAAAGAGGCTTCACCTATACCAACTGAGAACCATTATGAGACAGTTAGTAAGCTTCGTACTGAAATTTTGAAACTTTCTTTTGAAAAAGGACAGGTAAGTAATTTTCAGGTGTTTTAAATCTGGTTCATTACTTAGAATTCACTGGCTAATTTTGTTCTTGAAAATTGTCTAAACTAACCTTACTCATTTTTTTATCATCCACAGGATTTTGTATCTCTCCCAGTTAGTATTGACAGAGAGGTAAGAGGTGCTTGTCATCACCTGCTCTTTCATTAATTATCTGGGACCTCTGTGATTATGGACTCATATTTTACATGATAACTCTTATCTTTCTTATCATGGAGTAAAATCAGTGTGTAAGAGGCAATGTGGCATAATGAGTAGAGGGATAGCCTTTGAATGTGGAAGACCTCGGTTCCTGTCTCTGACACATATAGCTGTATGACCCATAAGCCAATCATTTAAACTCTTATTGTCTCAAGTAACTATCTGAGATTGTAAATTGTAGATGAGTTGCTGATCTCTCTCTTTTTTTTAAGGAAATTGGGGTTAAGTGACTTGCCCAGGGTCACACAGCTAGTAAGTGTGTCAGGTGTTTGGTCTGAGGTCATATTTGAACTCAGGTCCTCCTGACTTCAGGGCCGGTGCTCTATCCACTGCACCACCTAGCTGCCCCCTAAGTTGCTGATCTCTTGAGGCATTTTCCACACTGGGAATTACCTATTTGGATAAAATCACAGGTCTCCATTGCCCCCCAATCCTGTCACCCCCCCAAAATCCCAAAACTATGTACAGATAAGAATTGTACCTTGTAAGAAAAATTGGTCTCTTTCCGTTAAAGTCTACATGGTAGAGACTTTACAGTCGTCACTTTAGATACGTAACTTTGCTATACCCAGATATGCACACCACACCGTAGTACAATGGGAAAAAAGCTATCCAAGGCCCTCGAGGAGCAGTCAGAGAAGGTCCCTAATACATAGGATATTGGAGTTCTCTTATAGAGTGGGAGCCTGAGGAGCTAGGGGTGAGTGCTGAAGTCCATCATATTCAGCATAGGGTTTTGCTGAGAGCATGGGACAGAGCCCCCTTTGGAGGGTAGTAGAGAGGAGCTTGTCTTCAGTTTTTACCCAGTGCAGAAGCTCACATGTCAGAACACAGCAGTTTCTACCTTTTAGGACCCTCCTTTATCTCCCCTCTCCCTTACCCCCAAAAAGGCCATGATAAAACTCAAGCTTCTAGCCCCCAGGATAGGAGCATATAGGTCACTTTCTATTTTTCTCTTGTCCAGGAGTGTTATCAGAGAAACCTGGAAATCTTCATGAATACTACAAAAACAGCCTTCAAAGAGAATAGTAACACAAGCAAGGCCATTTATGGCAATCTGGAAAAAATCCAGGTGAGTCTTGAGTGGAGCTGCCATCTCCACATCTTCTCTGCTAAAGTCAGGGTTCCTTGGTTTAGGGACACCAGGTACAGTAACCTTCCTCTTGTCTTTGCTCACTAGAGGGGGTCACTTCCAAAGCTTTTCCCCTGGAAATGACTAATGATTCACTTCTGTTATATAACTTTTCCTTTTGTTACCTCTCCATAAAGAGTGACTATGTCAAGGGGGTTCAGGAGATGGGAAGGGAGATGTTAGGTCAGGTGACTCAGGGTAGAAGAGGTTTTCTCAGCCCTCATTTTCATAGCTGCCGGGGGAGGGGGAAGCATTTCTTTGGGGAATGTGGGAGGGGTAGTGGTGTGGAGAATGGGTTTCCAGGAAGAGGAAGTGAAATGCATCCTGGGATTATCTAAATTGGGGATATCTCAGGCCCTGTCAAATGCCAGAGTTTATGGCAGTGCCTGAGGAGAAGCCCACTCTGGCTATCTTATTTTTGGAGTCAAGGACATGGGACAGGGTTCTGTGGTCAGTGATCTTGGCCTGTGATGGAGTAAACAAACATTCCTGACTTTTGCTCTAGGCAGCTCTAACTCATCTCTCCTCGTTTGCAGAAACTTCCTCTGCCTGAATGCATCTCACAGGTAAGAAGTTTCCTTTCTTTCCAGTTCCATCCACAGCCTCCATCTATTGCCAGCTCCCTGTGACTTTCCCAATGTCTGATGTCAATTTTATGATTTTGTCATTAGAAATGTGACTGCCCTGAAGCCAGTCATCAGTTCGAAAAATTGAAAGATGATCTAGACACATTTTTGCGATGGATTTTGATTTGGTTTTCTCAACACAATTGAAAAAGACAGTTCCCAGGCCACAGACAGATCACCCTTTTACCACTGGTGAAAACAGCCTTCTCCAGACCTTGGAATCTTTGCCTTCAACCCAAAGACTAGAAAAGCAGAACATATGTAAATGACATATGAAAATATGAACTTTTCATGAGTATGTGAAGCAAATTATTTATTTTTATCATATTTGATACCAGATGCATCAATATTATTTGTATTAATGAAATGTATGGCTTGAATTTGATATTAGTTGGCTACTTTATTTCAGTATATTTATTATATTTATATAATTTATATATTTAGAAAGCTCTAAGCATTCTCTAAATGTGATTTTTTTCATTTTTATTATTTATTACTACCCTATTTATGATGTTCTCTGTTAAAAAAAGATTCTATATGTGTTTACAAATTGTCTGTAAGGAACAACTCAATTTGGGGTGCATAGATGGAATTTCAGGGCACTTTCATGTGTAAATGACTAGAAAATTTGATTGTTGCCTGGTTCATTTGTATTTTAAAATAAAGAACATTTAAAAACATGCTTTATTTTTCAATGTAACACTTTTTAGGTAATAGAAAATATCTAATATGTTTTTATTTTAATTTTTATTGATGCCTTTTGTTCTTAGGACACATCCATTTTGGAGAACATCCTCCTCCCTTCCCCACATTTTGAACCTTCTCCTTATAACAAATATTGAGAGAGAAATTAAAAAAAAACCCAGTAAAACAAGCCAACTTATCAACACACCAATCATTTCCTCCATTGGAAATATTCATGATAATACTTGCTCATGGTGTTTTGGATTCCTGAACTTTTTTCCCTTTGCTTTTCTTTTGTATTAAAAGTCATCTGCTTTTGTTTTTCCTCCTTAATCTTTGGATCCAATGTCTTTACTGCCCAGTTGTCCATAGCCTTCTCTCCTTCCCACTTCCCTCCTCACTGTGCCCCCATCCCTCAAAGCAAGCCCCAATTCCTTGCTCTATGTAATCTCCAGAGTCTCTTTCCCCTTAGTTGTCACCTTTTCCCTTCTAGTTTGTTCTTCCTTTTGCTCTTTAGATGCTTCCCTTTTTACCAGGTGTTCTCCTCTTCCTTTGCAAAACTTGACAGGATCAATGTCTGTCATCTCTATGGGTTAATGGAATGGGCCCATGGGGGAGTGAACAAAAAACTCTGCAGCCAAGCTCCAAACCACAAGTCTGAGAACCTGCTTATACCCATTGCACCTAGCATGTGGAGTGGTTTGGAGATGGGAGTATTGAGTGAAAATTCTAAGAATTAAAGTTTTCTGACATCATTTCATGAAGTTTTTAAAGTTCTGTAATATAGCTGTCTTTTTATGCTTTATCATCTTTTATTGATAGAGTATATGAAATACTTTATATTTGATCCATGATTCTCTTTTCTGATATTATTTGGTTTTTAAGGGAAGCTGAAAGCAATGATTCCACCAGCTTGCCAGTCTCACAGTCTTCTCTGGTTTAAAATTGAAACCCTCCTTCTATTTTAATGGAATATTTAGGAAGGAAGGAAGGAAGGAAGGAAGGAAGGAAGGAAGGAAGGAAGGAAGGAAGGAGAGAAACAAAGAAAGAAAAAAGAAAGAAGGAAAGAACTGCAACTCATAGTTCTCCATGGCAGTAGAATGATGAATGAGCAATGGAGACTGAGCAGGAGCGGTCATTAGGAGTAAGAGAGTTAGGAGAGAATAATGTCACAAAAGGGGCAGCTAGGTGGCATAGTGCATAAAGTCAGAGTGCCTGGAGTCAGAAAAATGCATCTTTCTAAGTTTAAATCTCATCTAAGATTCTTACTAGCTATGGGACCTTGGGAAAGTCACTTAACCCTGCTTGTCTCAGTTTCCTCATCTGTAAAATGAGCTGGACAAGAATCTACTTATCAAGACAAACAGGAATTACATGAATACAAGTACAAAACACTGTTTACAGAAATAAAGACAAGCCTAAATAATTGGAGAAATAGTTATTGCTTATGTTTTGTTTATGCAAATATAATAATAATTTCAATTCTACCTAAAGTAATTTACTTGTTAGACTAGAAATAGAATAAAATTTATCTAAGGAAAAAATTGATCAAGTATCTCTTAAAAAAAAGAATCTCTAGATAAATAATGGGAAAAATGGAAAGTAGGGGGCCAACAGGATCAGATCTGTAACTCTACTATTATGCCATAATCATGAAAACTATTTGGTAGTGATTTAAAAATAGAAAAATTGATTAATGGAACAGTTTAGGTACAAATTATGCAGAAGCAAATGAACACAGTAATATCATTTTTGATAAATCTAAAGAATCAACTATGGTAGTAAGGACTCACTCTTGGGGAAAAACTGCTGGGAAAGCTGGAAAGTAGTTTGACAAAATTCTGTTTAGAATAACAGGAGGACCTGAGTTCAAATCTGGTCTTAGATTAAACACTTGACATTTACTAGCTGTGTGACCCTGGGCAAGTCACTTAACCCCAATTGCCTAAAAAAAAATAACAGCTCCTATCATATATAAAAATAAAAATAAAATTGATATGGGATCCAAATCATAATCCAAACTGATACATGATCTCAATAATAAAATTAAAGGAACCGGGAAGAAGATATGTTTCACAAATATGGATAGAGGAAGACTTCTTGACCAAATGAGAGTGAAAATCACAGAAGATAAAATAGACCTGAGCCCAGAGCAACTTAGAAGGTCAGTATGAAAGTTCTGTCCCACTAGGGGGAGAGTGGAAGGCAGTCCAATATAGGCTGCCCCATGGCAGATCATGGCCCAGCAAACCAGGAAGAGTCCTTGGGAGTGACTCAATCAGCAGCAGCCAGGGCTGCTTCTGGACCTCCCAGTCCACAGACAGTAAGGGAGAGGACAACTCATCAAAAAGAGATTACAGAGGTCCCTTTGCTGGTACTGGGGGCAGGACTCTGTAACTTTGCCCATACTCAGATTCAGGTTGCTATTCTGGGTGGCAGTCTCAGGGCAAGAAGGAGCACTAGCACACCAGAGTTTATGACTACAGTGGATTGGGGACCCTCATCAGAGTTACAGGACAGACAAGAGTACTTGTGGTCACTCACAGAGCAGAGAACAGCACAGGCCAGAAGAGTAGTAAACACACTCTCCTTAGATCATACCAGTTTGGAAGAACTGAAAACTTATAGGTCCCTATAGGTACCTCTGAAAACAACTGCACAAAACCCCTGAAGCTTGGGACAGTGTGTCCTCCACCCTGGAAGAAGAGCCCCACTTTAGCAAATAGTTAAAAGTTAAGAAAAAGGCTGAAAAAATGAGTAAACAACAGAAAAAATTCTGGCTATAGAAAGTTACTATGGTGACAAGGAATATCAAAACACACACAGAAGGAGAGAACAAAGTCATCCAAGGCCTCAAAGTAAAATATGAATTGGTCTCAGGCCATGGAAGAGTTCAAAAACAATTTTAAAAATCAAGAGAAGTAGAGGAAAACTTGGGAAGAAAATAAGAGTGATGAAAGAAAATCATGAAAGAAGAGTCAACAGCTTGATAAAGGAAGCACAAAAATAAAAGCATAACACCTTAAAAAAATACACCAAATGGTAAAAGAAGCACAAAAATCTAATGAGGAAAAGAACGCCTTAAAAAGCTGAATTGGCCAAATGGAAAAAGATATACAAAAATTTACTGAAGAGAACTCCTTAAAAAGCAGAATGGGCCAAATGGAAAACAAGGTGCAAAAGCTCACTGAATAAATAATTCCTTAAAAATTAGAAGCAGACAAATGGAAGTTAATGACTCTATGAGACATGAAGAAACAATAAAACAAAACCAAAATAATGAAAAAGTAGAAGAAAATGTGAAATATTTCATTGGAAAAGGAACTGACTGAAAAACAGATCCAGAAGAAATGATTTCAAAATTATTGGACTTCCTGAAAGCCATGATCAAAAAAAGAGCCTAGATATCATCTTTCAAGAAATTATCAAAGAAAACCACCCTGATATTCCAGAAGCAGAGGGTAAAATAGAAAATGAAAAAATCTACCGATCACCTCCCAAGAGAGATCCCAAAATGAAAGCTCCCAGAAATCTTATAGCCAAATTCCAGAGTTCCCAGGTCACAGAGAAAATATTGGAAGCAACCATAAAGAAATAATGCAGGTATCATGGAGCCACAGTCAGGATAACACAGGATTTAGCAACTTCTCCATTAAAGGATCAGAGTGCTTAGAATATGATACTCTGAGGTCAAAGGAGCTAGAATTACAACCAAGAATCACTTGCCCAGCAAAACTGAGTATAATCTTTCATGGGAAAAAAAAGGACATCCAATGAAATTGAGGACTTTCAAGCATTCTTGATAAAAAGACCAGAACTGAATAGAAAAATTGACTTTCAAATAAAGACTCAAGAAAAGCATGAAAAGGTAAACAGGAAAGGAAAATCATAAGGGACTTAATAAAGTTAAAACTGTTTACATTGCTCCATGGGAAGATGATGCTTGTAACTCCCAAGAACTTTCTCATTATTAGGGCAGTTAGAAGGAATATACATAGAAAGAAAGCACAGGTGTGAGTTGAATGTGATGGGATACTATCTAAAAAAAAAATAAAATTAAGGGATGAGAAAGAGGGATGCACTGGGAGAAAGGGCAGAAAGGGAAAGGTAGAATGGGATAAATTATCTGACAAAAGAGGCACAAAAAAGCTTTTACAGTGGAGGAGGAGATAGGGAGAAGTGACAAGGAATATTTGAAATTTACTCTCATCTGAATTGGCTCGAAGAGGGAACAACATACACACTCAATTGGGTATAGAAATCTATCTTACCTTACAGGAAAGTAGGAGAAGAAGGGAATAAGAGAAGGGTACTTAAAAATAGAGAAGAATCTACTAATAGAAAGGAAGGTGGATTGGGGGAGACAGTAGTCAGAAGCAAAATAATTTTGAGGAAAGACATGGTGAAAGGAGAGAGAGAATACAATAAATAGGGGGAACGTACTTCCTGCTGGAAGGAAGGAAATACTGCTATATATTAAGTATAGTTATGTAAATGGAGGGAAATACAAAAAGCAATCATAATTGTGAAAAAAAATTTGAAGCAAGTT